TTTTTTTTTTTTTTTGTAACACTGGAGATCAAACCCAGAGGTGCTCTACATCCCCAGCCATTTTTATTTTTTTATTTTGAGAAAGGATATTTCTAAGTTGCCCAGACTGGGCTTCAACTTCGAAAGAACTAAATTATTAATCAAATGTAACACAAAGTTTATTATTCAATTAAATGGATTAATGAATAATCATTACAATGAAATGATTAGCCCTTACAGGTAAAGGTTGTGTCATGGAATTCAAAAGTGGGAACACTAGTTCTAATATAATTGTTCTTGATCTTTATTCCAGCTGCTACAAATGACAAACAGTCCAACAAAACTGCTCTTGACTAATCATAGAACCAATATTTGTGAATTTAAAGAAAAGAAAAATTGTATTTTTTTTAATAGAAGGAGGACATAAACTTGGTATTAAATAAGGTAGAAGTTCGAAACAACAGGTATTGCAGAGTTTAATTTTCATATTGATCCCCTTTGAATTCTGAGCCCAGGAGCTCATCCTTCATGGCTACAGGTAGTTTAGAGGAAAACTTGGGACAGTAGAGACTTTTGTTGTTTTCTCAAGTCTTTCACTGAAAACTTAAGACATTATATGGCTATAAACTTGGAAACTTTTTTTTTCATTACTATATATTCTATTCACACACCTAGTTTACAGTCGTGGAGTCTATTATTCAGTTCTTCAGGATGTTGGAGAGAATGTTAAGTAACAAGTGTAGAGAATTGTGCAGAGAATTGTGCAGATGAAGCATCACTGTAAACTTTCATCCTGAAATAGTAGGTGTCCTATAAGGTACAGGGTCTTCTCTAGTCACCTGTGAAGTTGAGAACTGTGTTGCACAATTGAGAGAAATGAGTTAAAGACATTTATTTAAAGTCACTGAAGTCTGAGGGGTTTATCATTTGAGAGGCCAGAAATAAAAAGGCTTTGGGCTTGGAGCCTACTCTGAATGCAGATGAAGAACGATTTCTTCTTTGGGAATAATCTGAAGCTCAATTCCTGAATGTGGGGATAATTTTTGTTTATGATGAAGATAGAATGTAAACATATTCTATGTTTAAGCATAAAATAAATTGGAGTTGCCTTAAAAGCAAGATATTATGCTGCTTGGAAGAGAGAAAAACAATGTAGTGAGTCAGGATGTTTGTGTGGGGCGGGGGGGCAGAAGGAGAAAATAATATCTCTATATTTATGCCAAATTATACATATAAAATTTTCAATAGAAGCAAATGTTATAAAACAGAATACATTGCTATATCTATATTCAAGGACAGTCATGTAGAAAACTGTGCATTTCATTACATGAATAGCACTTCAAGTCACATGATCTTCTTTGAAGCTTTCTTTATTTGATCTCCTTTAGACAAAGTGAAAATTCAATTCACTTTAGGTTTGTCAGAAACACCTCATCTTCTAATTATACCTTTTGGTGCATGAGTAGATACAGAGCAGAAGATAATACACTGACAACTTGTAGACCTATGATGAATATCTATTACTATAACTCCTACAGTTTAGAACAAACATGAATGAAATTGACACATTGTTTTCTAGGTATGAAGTAGCCACCATTTTCAACAGAAGAGATAGAAAGCTCTCCTAAAAAAAAGATATCTAGACTAAAATTAAAGCAGAGTTACTTAATAAAATACCTTAAAATAAGCAATAGAAAAATACTACTCATGAATGTAAAGCTTCTAGCTCTGTATGGGAACAAAATTTGTCATCTTGAAAACTTTTTCTGGGACAAATAAGACCTAAATTTCCAGCAGTGGCAGAGAATTTCAGTTATCAGAACAAGCTGAAGAATTACTGGACATGCTTTTAGAATGTGAGTAAAATAAATCACATTCTCCATGACTGATTTCTACTTAATTTTGTAGTGCAAGCAAGTAGTACTGAAATTCTGATCAGATGTTTTAGTGGTGTTCACTTGTCCCTGTATTAATTTCTGGATATCAGTCCTTATATTATTCAAAACAAGATATATCTCTATGCAATGAACACTGAGAATGACATGATTTATGGCACATATCAAAATCTGTATCAAAGTTTGGACAATAAAGATTCATGGCTATGAAATATAAAGTATAGATAATAAATTAATAACTTGAGAAACTTTTCTTATAATACTATAGAAAAAGGTATTTCAAACACTTAAACAATGAGTGTATGCTGGAGCTCTGGATCAGGGGGATAAATCAGAAATCTTTTATTTATTCATAAAACAAAGAAGTTTTTATTGTGCAATGCCTGTGACCTTAACCTTGAATACATTGAACAAAATCCCCCTCCCCCATTCCCATCTTTGCAATTAGCCTTTTCTTTTGCCAAGGGGAAAAGCTGTTGCCAAATTACCCCGATTGTCCTGAATAGTGAACAAATAATAATAGGAATGCTTTGAACTCATGGAACACCTTTTATCCATAAAGAGCAAAACACTTCAAAAAGAATACCTCACACATTCACATAATCACCGAACCCCTCTTGCTGATGGTGGAGATGGGGGTGGGGTGACGCCTAGCAATTATGTGTTCTACTGTGCTCAAAAAAGGAAATTAAAATTTATAGAAGTAAAATAATCATGGTAAGGGAGGGATGAAAATACCAAGAGCAATTCTGCTGGCCTGAGAGTTTATTGACCTCAGTGGTGAGCAAGTGGTTGAATGTGGATTTGGGAGAAATGGATTCACTAGAGTTGGAACTGGAAAGAGGCAGAATAGGTGCTTAGAATGACTCTCGGAATCCCAGAAGTGCTCCATTAAATTGTGCACTGGAATGAAATCTACCAAATTATGCTATGTCTATATATGAATATACCACAAGGAATTCTGCATATATAATTATAATGCACTAATTAAAATAACAATAACAATGATATGAGGGAGATGATGAATAGAATAGAACAAACTGATGGAGTTCAAAGGAGGAGTAGGCTGAGTACTGGAGAATGAGAGCGATTAAATTATGTGGATGTACAAATATGATGTAATGAATCCCATTACTATGTATAACTATAATGCAGCAATAAAAATGCTTAAAAAATGTGCACTGGAGTATGGTTTTTTTTTTTTGCCTCATTTTCGTACTCAATTCTGCTAGGGCAGTGGTCCTGTATGGTACAGCATTGCTAAGTAGTCCTGGACATGCATTGTAGGGGTAGTAGCAGTGGTGTTGGGGTTGAATCTGGTTGTCTCCAGACTGGGAGGCAATTCTGGCATCCTGGAAATGATGGCTAGAAGTGCCAAATGTCTGGAGTATGCCTATAACTTCTGAGCATCTATAGCCTTCCAGGCACAGTGCTAAGGACATTGCTTACATCATCTCCTTTAATCCTTGCGAGTACTTTGCACTATGTGTTATTTAAGAGAAGCTCACACATATTAAATATTTTTCACAGATCATTTGAATTTCAGGTTTAGATTCTAAGTTTGGAAATCGGTTCCATGAGGCTCCAAAGGCAATAATCTTCATTCCATGGTGGGAACTTGCATCTCATCTTGGTAACTCAAGAGAATTTAGTTCTACAACACCAGATCTGTTCCATATATCTGGCAATAGTGAATGGAACTAATACTGAACAAGAACCAGTCAATCATTACGACAATTTTATAACAATGATATTCAAATACAGGACATTTTTGTCTTGTATTCTTGTCTTGTCATTTTTATGGATTAGTAAGCCCTCTTTTTCCTATCCACTATCCATTCCACCACTTTTCCCTTTCTAGAATCCGAGTTTTGTTAGTCATCAAGCCTTTTCTAGTCAATTCCTTTGACACAGAGGATGCTAAGTCCAAAACTAACATCATGAGTAGTTTCTGATTGGTTTAATTGTGGCAATTTCATCTACACTTCCAATGATGGTCCAGGGGCTCAGGCATGAGTAAATCAGTTAATTAGAACTATTCTTAGTCCAGGTATGGGTACTGATGCAAATTGCTCCAATCAGTTCAAAGGGAAGAATTTCAATTGTGTGATTGTAAATGACTCTTTTCTCTTAGTAGATTCTGTCTTGTGTTAGTCAGCTTTCTATCACTGTAATGAAATACTTGAGATAATCAAATTATAAAGAAAAATGGTTACTTTGGCTCACAGTTTTGGATGTTCCAGTCCATGATTGGATCAACTTACCTCATTCTGTTCTCCAAAAGGTTTCAGATGGCAGTCGTGGGAAGCAGAGCAGAGCAAACTTCTTGCCTCATGGCCATGGAAGCAAAACGAGATAAAGAAGAAGGGACTGGGGTGCCACAATCCCTTTTGAGCATGGCTTCAGTGACTTAAGGACCTATCTTTAGGCTCCTTCAACTCCTACAGATTCTACCACCTCCTATAGTGCTACCCTGGGAGACAAGCCTTCAATACATGTGCGTTTGGGGAACATTTAAGATGCCAACTGTAGTTGGCTTGTTCCATAATTAAAAAATGGACACAAAATTTCAGTTAAATAGTAAGATTAAGTTCAAGGAGTCTATCATACATCCTGGTGACTTTAATTAACAACAAATAATTATTGATATATTAAAAATTGTGGAAAGATTAGATTTTAAGTGTTCTCATCACAAAAACATGGCAAGTTTGTGAAATAATGCATATTTTAAATAGCTTGATTCAGGTATTTCACAATGTATATATATATATCAAAAATGATGTTGCATACCATAAATGTGTAGATTTTTAAAATGTATGAATTAAAAGAAAAATAGGACAAACTCAATGCTGTAAAAGGCACATAAGAGGGATAATAACCTGTTCCTTTGTAACATTACTGAGTCACGGATTTAACCAAGTCTGAGCTTCCTATTTTTTATGAGATAATACATTTCTTTACTATCTAAATCAACTTAAATCTGAGTTTACTATTACTTTCAGGAAAGAGCTTCCAGGCTGATGAAATAATCATTTAGTTTTTATTACATGTGTCAGTTATAGTCACCTGATGATGCCAATATTATTTGGCTACTCATAGCATCAGCTGGAATATGGAACTTTACCATTTTAAACACACACACACACATACACACACACTTGTACACACATATAATTTTATATGAATATACATGTGTACATTTAGGTCTATTAATGTAGATATTATAAAAAATATTGATAATACATATAACAGCTAATATCATGTTTACAATTCACCCTTGTACAAGTAGGGCATATGTTACTGATCAATATTTTGTATTTTAAGCTTTTAGAATACAAAAACTGCGTTTTATTATTTGATCTATAAGACGTCTACTGTAGTCTTTTTGGTGATAAATAATGCATTCAGCATTAGAGGGTCTCAATTAGGCATACTGATAGTTCATTCAGTTCTTAGGATATAGTCATCTGGATTTAGACTTTATTTCAAAAAACAAGAGAACAAATTATAAATTTCGATATTAAATCAAAGAGATTTGAATAGAACATACAAAACCAAAGGTAAAAGGGAAAGAATGCATGTGTTTAAAAGCCCATAGGATTTTGTGGTATCATTTGCTGGACTTAAATCCCCTTGTATGAATTAGAATAAAATCCTCAGAGTTCACATTGGTCATCTCTACCTCCTGCAAGACAGCTCTTCCTGCTGATCCCAAAGGAGTATCCAGAAGAAGAGAGGGTTTCTAAGGAGAGAAACAAAAAGTCTTTCAGTTTCCCTATAGGGTTTGAAGCAGGAAATTCATGTAAATTTATTCAAAAAAGCTTCTTAGTAATTTAGGGTCCAGGTATCGTAAATGATAAGCAAAACGTTTTTTTTTTTTTTTTAAGCAGTTGATTTTTTTTTTTCCAAACCAAGTCTGAATAAAACCAGCATGAGTAAGAGGTTTGAATTAACTGCTCTAGTTATAAACCTCTTATTTGGCACAATACTTTAATGTTTGTGGAGCCTCTGATGCCCTTAGAGTGTGGGTCCCAAAGTTGAATGAAGTCACATTCACCTCAGAATTTCTAGAAAGTAAGAACATGCGGCCATATTAAAGGTCCTGAAAGAAGAGTTTGAAAAGGAATAAAATTAGACAACATCCATGAAGCCGATGTATTTGTTGCAAAATGTGTAAGGATAATATCACAATGCATACAACACATGTGTATATACTACCAAGACATAGGCTACCTTTTAATTTTATGCCAACTTTTGAACTCTCAGGAGCTATTTTTTTTTTATCCTACTTTAGGTAAATGCACAGACACTTAAAATGCGACATCAACTTTTTCACTTCACCCTGTACGATGCATTATTTTTCTAGTTTTATATCACGTAACTAGGTGGCAGAAACAAAATTTAGTGCAGTATTTTTCTGCAAAGCAATCAAATGAAATTGAAACTAGAGGGTAAGTTGAAGCACCCTCTGGTAAAAGAGTCTTAATTATTTGCTACCACTTTGGGAAACCATTACTTTACCAGCTGACAAGTTATTTTAAGAAGAAAAGAAAGATCAGATTAATGTTACAAAAATAAATTTAACAATTGCAACACATTTGTATTACATAAAATTAATGATATGCATGTCCATTCTGCTTTCCTCTGAATGTAATTATATTAAACTGAATTTCTCTTATGTAACTGTAAATTTTAATTTTTTATAAAGCACAGCATAAAGATTTACTTTAGGTGGTGATTAGATACTCAGAATTTCTCAACTGGAGTTGTAGTTGACATTTATTACTGTTCTTGTTTCAGAATTTTGTTATATTTCTGACATCTATCTCACCATTTATTTGTGGCTGATGAGAGAGAAATATATCCAAATGTTAGGTATTATAGTAAAATGTGCTTATTTCATTATTTGAGTTCAGAAACAGATGCACATTCAAATATATATTTTTATTAACTGTAGGAAAGGATTAAAAGTCCTCATTCTAATAGAACCTGCTGAGAGTAATGAGGTTATATATATATATATATATATATATATATATATATATATATATACAACCTAAAGAAGGGCCATGTGCTGTACACTATTTTACTAAATATTTGAGAAGTAGATTGGTATATTCATTTGGATGCTTTCAGATCTAATCCAGAAATAGAATAGTTATAAGGTTAATTGTCTTAGCCATTTGATGGGCATGATTAAGGATCCTGTCTTTCATTTTCTGAAATCCTCCATGTAGCTTGCCAACTAACTCACTTCATGATCAAATATGTCTGCATCTCTCCTGGAGAGATCTCTTTGAAGGATCTATGAAGTTATTCCCTTATATCTTAACCTCATCCCCATCAGAAATTTGTTCATGTATGCCCTCTCTTAACTGAAACAGGAAATTTAAATGATTGGTTTAGACAACCAGTCCTTCCTTTTTTATTATTATTAGTTTTCAAAACTTCACTAAGCTCTTGACATATCATATTTCATACATTTGATTCAAGTGGGTTATGAACTCCCATTTTTTCCCCGTATACAGATTGCAGAATCACCTGGCACAGGTGACTCCATTTTTTCTGCTTCTCCACAGCAGTACTAAGATGATGATTGGGCAAACAAAGGGGAGAGGATGACTATTGCCTAATCACCAACAGTTGCTGCAATAAAATGGCCTCAGATACAATGGATTCTGTGTGCATATATATACATACACACACACACACATATAAGAATGTACATTATAAGAATATACATAATTATATAATATATATAAGAATACTTTATATTTTTTAGCAAAACAAAACCCAACTTGAATTGACTTAACAAAACAATTCTAGTAGCTTAACCGATATGAAGTTGGCAAAGTTACACTGGTATTAGGCACGGTTATACGTACATTCAGATAAATTATGATTTCAGCCTATTTTTCTATGAGCCTCTGGGCTCTGTTCTGTCTTGTAGGTCAACTTCATCTTTGTCTTCAGACTTGCAGTTTGGTAGCAACACTGACTGTAGTAGTTCCAATTTTATATCCTATTCCTTGCGCTCTAGAGGAAGATAAGGCTTTGGTTCTGATTACTGCAGAGGAGACAAAGTTTAGATCCTAGAAAATTTAGCTAGTGTCTCCTTAGGGGCATTGACTCCAGTTGGGGTTTGTGCCCATTCTTAAATCAATAGCTATGATTAAGGAATGGAATACGCCAATTGGCATCAATTGGCAAGGGTCCTAAAGTTCAGGCAGGGTCTGTTATAAGGAGACCTCAGCATAGAGAAGGGGGTTGGGTGGTTGGTTCCTCATTTAAAAAGATGAGAGAAAATTGGGTGTTGAGGGCTGACAGAAAATGTCTAATCTGTATTAAAGTATAGATAAGGAAGTTGAGACATCAAAAATGGCCTGTCCATGGACATGCTGACTTATAAAGAGGACCAGAAATCAAGACTTTCAGCTCTCAGGGAGGTCCTTCTTAAACTATACCCCCAAATTTCCCTTTACTTTTCAATATTACCTCCATAGTTGGTTTACTAATTTACTTGTTATCGTTTTTGTTAACATTTTTATTAGAGCCTCTTCCCTGTATTTGACATTACATATATTTTCTTAGAGCTGAAAGAGATTAGCTTCCCATAAATCCAGTTTTCCAGACCCAAACATTGTTTCAAATTGCCTTTCTGCAGAGTGTGCTTTGTGGCATTCATCTCAATTTGTTGTATTTTAGGAAATGCTGCTAATTTTAATTTTTAATAGGCTGAGAGACAGTGATAGTTTAAGCCTGTTCCTAGTGGATTAAAGTCCTTTAAGACTCCTGAGTAAAACAAATCAGGGGAGATATATTTTATTCTTATTAGATTATGTTCATGAAGATCTTTATGAATTAAGCTAAAGTTAAGTTTCTAATTAATCCTTGTACATTGGTTTATCAACATGATTATCATAATTCACAATCTGTTTGACATTAATTCTACATTGTAGCTAGAAGGTATTTTCTGTGGCCTGACAGCTTGATTTATACAGGAAAGATACTAAATGAGAAGAAAATCTTATTTTGTTTCTTCCTTTAGTCTTAACTGTGTGCTTAGAAAACCATTGGTAAATTGGTAACTGTGATTTGGTTCAGATCAGCTGTCATTTAAAATAAAGTTCTAAAGTGGGTTTAAAAAGAAAAATCCAGCAGACTGGTGAGAATGTTGCTTTCCATAGTAACAAGGTTGGTATGACTTCATTATTTAATAAGAGTGAAGAACAAGAGCTATATTTTGGAATTGGGATGTTTGGAACCTACTACATATTGTGGAAAGCCTGTGCATCTTTGTCACGGGAAGCTGGATTTAGGTTATAGTGACCTGCCAGTGTGACTTGAAGACATGGCAAATAGCTTATGGGTCCAATAAGAGGAGACAAGGGACTACTGGTTGTCAATTATGTTTAATAACATAAATTTTTTGGCAAACAAAAACTTACATGGAAGCCTTTGCCCGAGTAGATAAAAGTAAAAATGTTCTAACTAAATCAACACTGAATCAATGGAAGGCTAAAAACTTTGGGAAGCCAGTCTTCTTTCTCTCTTCTACCTTCCTCTTCTATCACCCTCTGCTACCAAAGACCTTCAGAAAAACTCCAAGGTTCCATGGATGGTATTTTGAAAATCACTGAAATAGATGATTCACGTAAAAAAACCCAGTTTTTTGAGTATCTACTATGTGCTACTTGCTGCGGACTCAATAGTGCAAAAATATAGCAAAACCACATAATGCTCCCCTGCGGTTTATATTATTGGGAAGGGACAAAACAAGTAAACCATGGGCTGAGGTGTAGCTCAGTGGGAGAGCATGTACTAGTGTGTATGAGGCTCTGGCTGGTTCCCCACCATAGAAAACAAAATACAACACAACACAATAAATCTACTTGGAAAAGCAATGACTGATATGCAGAATGTAAGTAGTGTGCTATGATAGCATTTGATGGGCCTTGGGATTTCATAATCCAGTGAAGGTAGGCAAGAAAGTATCACCGGAGGAGGTGACATTTAAGCAGAGTCTTAAAAGAACTGGAAGTAGGAAGGAAGAAGTCTGATCTCTTCCAGGAATAGCCAGCATGGCTCAAGTATGAGCAAGGCAGAAGGAGGTGGAGACAAGAATAGAGAGAACATATGCAAAGACCATGGCCTTTTCGGCTCTAGGCCATTCTGAAGTTCAAAGAAGGAAGGATGAGATGTGATATTCATTAAAATGTTTTCCCTAGCTGCTGATGAGAGAATGGGAACAGGGATATCAGCTGTGAGAGGGTTGTCTGGCGGTCTAGTGAAAGGTGCTACTGACTTACATAAGGATAATAACAGATAGATATAAAGAAGAGGAAAAAAAAAACCGAGGTGTATTTTGCATATAAATTTGACAGGACTTTCTGGTGGAGAAAATGTGTGGGATGAGAGGAAGGGAGATATCAAGGCCAAAGCTTGATTTTATGTTTAAGCCACTGATACATGCAATGAGTTTACTGAGATGACTAGCACTAGGAGAGAAAGAGGCGGGGGGCGGTGGGGTGGAAATAAAGTTTTATTTTTAATATATGAAATTTAAAGTGTCTTCTAGGTAGCTTAGCAAAGACGCCAAGTAGGCAGTCTGACACGTAAAGCAGGAGAAAGATCAGATGATGCAAATTTGGGAGACTTTGACATAAAGATTATATTTTAAACAATGGGAAAGGATGAGATCAGAGAAAGAGAGAGGGAAAGTAAGAGGAGCTAGACAAAAGGAGATGGCTAAGGTCCAAGACCTACAGGGCTCCAACTTAATACTTCTCCAGGAAGATCTCTCAGGTCTTTTCTAGTTCGAAGATGTCTAAATTGTGTTGTTAGAAGTGTTGGATCTCCTTTACTGTTCTTGTTAAGGCTCCTTCTGCAATCTTCTCTTACTTGACTCAGATTGTGTTGTCTGTATCTTACTTCTTCCTCTCTTCTCCCTTAATTGGATATATGTGGAAGTCACTGCTTAGCATGGCAATAGAGGTCTATTTCTCATGTATGTTATGGTCCTAAGGTGGAGTCCTCTCTTGTTAGGATTGTAACATAGTAATGGGACAAAAATGACTTTCGGCTACCAGCTCTCAAGCATTTCTAATACTATTAGAGTTACAGCCTGTGGAGAACTTCCCAGTATTTCCTCAGGACTCTGCTTAGATCCTGACCATGACAGACTAAGCCCCATTATATAGTTTTGGATAGTCACTTCAGAGGGTCCAGATGATGAAGATTGCGCCTCCAATATCTGTGCTAATTGAGAAGTACAGAGGTGATGTTTCATCTTCTCCTGGGAGAGTATGCAGTCCCCTAGACAGAAATACATTTTACCTCTGCATGCCAAGTGAGGTAGGCTATAGTAGGCTGGGTTACCTCTTGTTAGGAAGACATGATATTCTATGAAAATTCTGACTCCTGGCGTTTGGCCTGTTTTGGATAAAAGCAATATCCTCAGGACAAACCACATGTAAATAAAAATTGTCTGTGCTGAAACTTGCCAAAAATCTAATTACTGAGGACATGTTAAAAACCCTCAAAATGTTAAATCTGGAAAAGAGGAGGTAGGGATGTAGCTAAGTAGTAAAGTGCGTGCTTAGCATGCATCATGCCAGGCCCAGGGTTCAATCCAAAATGCATGCACACAAGCCAGGCAGAATGGCACATCCCTGTAATCCCAGCAGCTCAGAAAGCTAAGGCAGCTTCAGCAATTTAGTGAGGTTCTAAGCAACTTGGTGAGAACTTGTCTCTAAATAAAAAATATAAAAAGAACTGGGGATGAAGCTCACTGGTTAAGTGCCCCAGGTTTCAATCCCCAGTACAAAAAAAAAATTGCAAACACATACACAAAACAAAACAAACAAACAAACAACAACAACAACAAAGAATAAAAGAAAAAAGGACTGGAAAAGAACTTAGAGAGTAACTAACCCACCATTTTGTTGTTACTTAATATCTAATGTTCTCTGCTGTGGGTCCATTGGAGGTCTAAAGGTATTTAAATTCAAAGTTAGAATTACTGTAGCTAAAAATAGATTTGAAGTTACTGTCCCTTTCCCTAATGGCCTATCCCCTTTCCAGAGCTTTCTCTGTTGTACTAAATGGCACCACTATTTACCATATTTCTCATGCCTCAAATAGAAAACTATTTGTTTATTCTTACTCCCCACTTTTTCCCCACATGGAATATTTACTCTGTTAGCAAAATTGGGGGTTTCCACCTTTAAAGTACATCCCATATTTGATTATGTCTTCTCCCTCCATGGCCATCCCTCACGTGCACTATCATGTGTCCTCTGTACTGGTTACTTATTGTTTACCAGGTTGATTATCTATTACTATAATAATGCTGTGTGGCAAACCATCTCAAATCTCACAGTCTTATAACAAAGAATTATGCTTATTTGTCTGCAGGTCAGTCCTTGGAGACCATCATTTCTAGTGGATAATTGATGGTCACACCTTCCATTTCTCTCTCTCTCTCTCTCTCTCTCTCTCTCTCTCTCTCTCTCTCGTAATGGTACCCCTGGATCACTATAGCTTTCAACTTTCCTCAGACACACAATTCACTTGGCTTGCAATGCTTGCCATCCCATTGACTCTGGGGATTAGTATAATGCATAGTAGGCCTGGGGTATGATCCGAAAGAAGAGATATTCCCTCTTCCTTGGACCATGTGGAATGACATGGAATTTACCTGGAAGAGAAGTCCATCTTGCTATTACATGACAACTAGCTAGGGCTTTTGGAGGAGCCCTCATGAAGTCTGTAGATGAAACCAGAAGATCAAAAAGTAAAGGGGAGAGACAGAACAGTTTCCTGATGGCATCATTTGTTCAAACCTTGCCTGGAACCAACACGAGTTCTGAAGTTTTATGTTTCAGAAACTATAAATTTCTATTTAATCCAGAATGAACGAGTTTTCCTCTTCCTTGCAATAGAAAAAAAAATTCTGATAGAAGATCTTAGATTACCACATCATTAGCACTTAAGGAAACACCAGCTCTGCCCTGCAGATTAAAACACTGAAGAGCAGAAGAGAAACAAATGTTCAAATCCTATGAGCACCTTTCTATGTATCACCTTACTTAATCCTCAGATGATCCTCCAAGGTAAGTGTACGCAGCTGGGAGTTAAAGCAATGGGAGCTGAGGCTCAGGGACATTAGATTTCCTAAACTTGACTCTCATTGTTCTTCAATGCTGGATGCTGTGAGAGAAAATGCATGTGGGAATGGTGCTGCAATTTATATGCCTGCTCTTCTAGGCCTTTTCTAATCAGTGCTTCATTCTCATTTTTGTCCCCGCACTTGCCATTGATTTCTCACTTTAACACATCTAGGCTTAAGTTTTTATGCTGCCATATTATTACTGGTCCTTACAGTCATGCTGACAAGAATGCAGACTTAATGCTCGATACTTAATGTCCCAACATAAAGGTATCCACATTCTGGATGAAGGGGGAGATGGAAGCATATATTCAACACCTCTGATCAATAAGACATTTACCAAAATGAGCAGATTGATTTTATTTACACCTGCAGCAATGGGCTCTCTGAACCTCTCCTTAGAGCACATATTGTTCAGGGCATTGGCAATGACAACATTGCTAAGGATCAATGAGAGCAGAAACCACATTGAGCAATGGCTGGCTGCATCTGGAGAGTTAGCTATTTGTAATTAAATGCATTGAAGGCAAAACAGTTGAATTTTTTTTTTCAGGCAACTCTTTACTCTCCTTAAAGAGCATTTCATACCAGGTAGAAGGTTTTCATGTTGACCACTATGTTCTGGATAGATGCCATTAAAGGATTGATTCTCTAAAGGGAGAGGAGGTTGAGACAGGAGCTGACTTTGTCTGTCTGTGGAGGTGATACTGCAGCCAGCTCTTTTGTTTTATGGCCAGTGAGTTCTGTGTCAAGAATTCCAGGTCTGACTCTTGACCATCTGGGGAACTCTGACAAGTTAATGCTCCCCAGGATAGCTAAGCATACCCACAGAACTTGGTTGGTGAAATCAGTCTGCAGGTTATTTATGACTTTTGTTTTATAATTGGTTTTTACTGTACTCTGGAATTCGTAAGTGACGACTCCAACTCCAATATTTGTTTCTCTTTTCTCTTTCAAAATGTATAATTTATTTGCTTTTTGCTTCTTCCTTTGCTCTCTTTCAAAATCTATTATTTATCTGTGACTGTCTTCCCTAACAGCACACGCAATCTGATCCTCATTTGATAAATGCAGCCCACGAAATTTGGCCTTCTATCTGATTGTGCCCAGCCCTGTTGGTACTCACTCTTAGTTCCGTCATCCTGAGGTTCACTTAGGATAGACTTGCCAAGCAGTCTCCAAATCATATGCCAACTATGAGTGAATGGGGGTGGCTGCGAATACCCTAGGCAGAGGCAGGCTGTGTGTGGGTTCAGCTATGAAGAATGGAGCAACTGGTTAGCAATGACCGCAATGGGCACCACAGAGAGGAGACGTGGCAACACCCTTTACAAGAGCCTGGAATGGGGTAATAAGGAGGTGCATTTATAAGTATTAGTCATGCATGGACTTGGTAAGGGACAATGCAGTACTTTTCATCCTGTTCTAGGAAGTTTTTTGTTTCCCAAGCTGAAGTTGTCACATTGGCAAGAAAAAGAAGAAACATTCTGAACACCATGAAGCTGGGAGTAGTTTCCCCAATCTTGTAGCACAGTATAAGCATCAAACTGAAGACAGCATGCAATGGTACCCTAACCAGAAGCCTGGGGCATAACCTTGCAGGTATGCACTTTGCAGACCATGTGGATATTAGTGTCCCAGCTCCTGGAGTGAAGATATGTATGTGACTGTTGGTCCCAAGGGTTAAATGAAACCTGGACTGGGCTGGATAAAGCCATTTTTGCATGGGCTTTATCATGTAATATAATTTCTAAGTAAATTTTTCCAAATTACTTTTAACCAGTACCATAAGCTATTAATGTCCTTCAACCAAATGTATGCTTTTACCAGGGGTAATTTTTTGAGTGCCAACTCACCTTGCATACTTGACTCACCAGTTTTCACATCAGTCTTTGTTTGGCTTCCCATGAGGACACAGTATCATAGATCACAGTCCTAGAATAATTGGGCTATGAAAAATTAGGCCTCCAGACTGCTTTCTTTATTGGCAATTTAACAAAGCAAACACATGTCCCATGTTTTCATGAAATATTCTCTGTCATCTCTTGTCAGCACCCAGGACTCCTGAATTTCAATAACATATGTCCAGTTGTTCAGAATTACTTCCTATCTACTCTGTATTTTTATTTAGTGTTTTATATTGTCCCCACCAAGAGAGCGATGAAGCTTGAAATTTATATAATTCCTTGTATCCTTGTATAATTAACATAATGCTAGATACAGCAAAATGATTAAGATGTAAAATATTCATACAAATACCTTTTATTATTATTAATTTTTGTTTATTTTTGTTTTTTGGGGTACTGGGGACTGTACTCAGGGACACTTGAACACTGAGCCACATCCCCAGCCCTATTTTCATATTTGATTTAGAGACAGGTTCTCACTGAGTTGCTTAGCAGCTCACTATTGCTGAGGCTGGCTTTGAACTCACAGTCCTTCTGCCTTAGCCTTCCTGGCTGCTGGGATTACAGGTGTGTGCCACTGCTCCTGGCTTACATTATTATTTTTATTAAAGACTAATAGCTCTGGTAAAGGGAACCCATTATCTGACTCTTTTGCTTAATAAGATTTGAAGAAAACTTCTGTATACCCAGAAATTTTGTGAGTTTGTCAAATGCCACCTTGTTTTACTGAAACTTTAAGATTGATGTGGGTTTAATTTTTGCATCAATGGTTAAATCAGCTAGAGAGAGATATTATAGTCAGTGGAGAACTTGATAGAGAGGGTAAGACTTTCAATTACAACTCTACAGGAAACTTCTCTCTATTTTGTTTCATTGATTTAAATCACTTTATTTAACTCAAAGAACAAAAAACAACTAAAAAAGTGAAAGAGTATCTTTTTGGAGTTTATAATGCAACTTACCTAAGAATGATTTATTTTACAAATGATATTGCCTTGTAAGAATCAGAAAAATTTTCTTCTCTCTCCAAAAAGAGGAGAAAATTTCTCCTCTCTCCAAAAGGCTCTCCACTTTAGAGGACCCATTTTCTGGTACATATCTATTATAGCCTTTTTATGAGTAAAATCTGAGATGTATATAATAACTTATATTAGGAAAATTAAAAAGCAAAATCTCAAATAGAAACATATCACATGTTCATTCAGTTAAAGCAGGAATTGTTATCATTACTCTAAACCCAACCTCCCTGTTCTAAGTTTGATATCATATGGAGGAAACATAATATTGTTTATGGTTTGATTTAGGCAAAAAAATGTAATGCATTGTTTTTGTCTTATCAATAAAAAAGGTCTAAAAAATAGTTCAAATTCCATTGTAAATTACACTAAAATTTCTGTTATTCCAGATGTTTGAATCCTGACTGAAGTTGTTTCCTTGGAAATAATTCATGAAGAATCCATGTTTAGGTTCTTAGTGGATATTGTGATGCATACCTGTAATCCCAGCAACTCAGGAGGCTGATGCAGGAAGATCATGAATTTGAGGCCAACCCCAATAACTTTGCAAGAGCTTCAGCAAATTAATGAGACTCTAAAAAAATAAAAATAAAAAAAATAAAAGGACTGGGGATGTAGCTCAGTGGTAAAGCACCCCTGGCTTCAGTCTCTAGTACCAACAACAAAAACAACAAAAATGCAAATATAATCTTATAAGCATAGTGTTATTTGGCCATAAAAAAAAATAACCTGAGATGTCTGAACTTTGACCATGGGTTCATTACTTTAGTTCTAAAAGACTTTCTACTCTTATAGTGTCTTTTATTAAAACAAATACTTAGATTTAAAACTACATATAAAAATTAATAATGGGGAGTGGGAGGTAGATAACTACAAAACCTCACTGAGTTAACACTTAAAAATGGTCAACAAAAGGAGATGTGGCTATAGAAAGCAGAAAAGGAGAGGTAGGATATGGGATGAAGAGGTAGAATATAAGATCAGATGTGGCTATGGAGGGACAAGTAAGTTATAGAAAGGAGATGTGGTTTTGAAAGAGACATAAGAAACACAGAGATATATGGCTACAACCAGGAATAGTCAAATAAAGGCAGGGTGTTGGAGCTCAGAGTGTTTTCTACTGAAAGAGAGTGGGGTGGCCTTGGAAGCCAGAAGGCCACTTAGACCTTCCCCAGTCTTTCTGTGTAAGAAATGGTTATCAAGAAATTCTCTGACTACCTTGCTTGAATCTAGGTAATGTGACCCTCACTCCAGAGGGGCCCTCCCTCACACCCAGGGGAAGGAATGCCACACAGGGATGCCAAGAAGGGCCTGAATAGACACGCCTGCTGGGCTTCCTTAGTCTCAGCCTATTACCATTAAATCATACTCTTTTCTCCAGTCTTATTTTTGCTCGGCTGTTCATTTTTTTTGGCCAAATGTAAGCATAAAAGTAGTTTTCCCGCATCTTAGAGCCTTCATTTCTGAGTGCTCCTATGTCACATAAAACTGATTAAGTAAGTTTGTTGTGCTTATATCTTGCTAACCTGTCTGTTATAGGAATGTAACAGTGGTCCACATCATCTTTAGAATATACCTCTGAGGCTTATTTTTAAAAGGAATATGTTTTCCTTTTCCTCTTCCTCTTCTTCCTCTCCCCCTCCCTAACCTGGAGACAGGGATCAAGATAACCTCGAGTTATCTGTGCTCCACAGGAAGGAGATTTCTGCCAGACGATCTAGGAAGTGAATATCTCCAAAATTAACAAGTGAACCCTAATACAACATCAGGGTCCCCTAGGCCCCCTGTCAGGGCACAACACCTGGAATGTAGCCTTTGAATAGCTCCTTTACAAATCTCCTGTTTCTCCTGAGGGGGAGAATCACAGCTTCAGGGACAGGAGTCCCCTGTATTTCTCCTTTGCTAGCAAAGCAATAAAACAACTTTTTCCTTTTTCTCAAAACTGTGTCCTCATTATTAAATTGGCATTGGGGATAATGACTGAGCTTTCTGTTACAGAGACATCAACCCTTACCCTTATGTTGCATGAGGAAAGATTCACACCTTTCTCCCCTACATCAGATTCTAAAATTTGCCTGGTCATCACAACCAACTGGAGAGGCTTAAGGATGATACTTTTTAAATTTTATGTCATTCAGAAAAATATAATATGATATTCTCCTTCTAAGAAACTGTCTTTAATTGTGGAAAAAGTTCAGAGTAATCATCAAAACTACAAATAAAACCTAGGCAGGCTATTATGCAAATAAACAACAATAAATGTTGGCAAGGATGTGGGGAAAAAGGGACACTCATACATTGCTGGTGGGACTGCAAATTGGTGCAGCCAATATGGAAAGCAGTATGGAGATTTCTTGGAATATTGGGAATGGAACCACCATTTGATCCAGCTATCCCTCTCCTCAATCTATACCCAAAGGACTTAAAAACAGCACACTACAGAGACACAGCCACATCAATGTTTATAGCAGCACAATTCACAATAGCTACATTGTGGAACCAACCTAGATGCCCTTCAATAGATGAATGGATGAAAAAAATGTGGCATATATACACAATTGAATATTACTCAGCAATAAAAGAGAATAAAATCATGGTATTTGCAGGTAAATGAATGGAATTAGAGAAGATAATGCTAAGTGAAGTTAGCCAATCCCAAAACACAAATGTCGAATGCTTTCTTTGATATAAGGAGGTTGCTTCCTAATGGGATAGGGAGAAGGAGCATGGGAGGATAGATGATCTGTAGATAGGGCAGAGATGTGGGAGGGGAAGGGAGGGGGCATGGGGGTAATTAATGATGGTAGAATGTAATGATCATTATTATCCAAAGTACATGTATGAAGACAAAAATTGGTGTGAATATACTATGTATACAACCAAAGATATGAAAAGCTGTGCTTTCTATATGTAATAAGAATTATAATGCATTTGCTGTCATATATAAGTAATTAAAAATACCTAGGCAGAAAGGCAAATTACTATGAGAAGAAAAGGGCGTGAATAGCCTTTTATTCTCATTTATACTCCTGGGTCTGAGTGTTTAAAATGTAAGTCACTAATAATTTTCATTCCATAAAATGAGGTGAATTGTTCAGATGGAGTTAATATCCATCTATATCTCTTTGTGAACCTTGAAGAAATGTGAACATGTTTTCTTCAAATCCCTTGAAACATTTTAGAATATAGGTATATATGATCATAATATTGCTGTAGATAAAACAGGATGACTGTAGTACATTACACAAATAATTATCCCTTCTGAAACTTTATTGTTTTTTTTTTCTTTGCTAGGAAAGGAGGCACTGGCTTAGATAATTAAATAAACAATGATTTTCTTTTTTGCCTCTATGACAAGAAAATATATGGTAGGTATATTCATTTTATTTTTTGACACTAGTAGGTAATAATTTCCTGAGTAAATCATACGTGATAATTGCTTCTCATATCATTTTTACATGGGAAAACATATAAACAACCAATACTTTTTTATTAGAAACTGGAAAGAATTTCCTCAGTTATGTATTATATTATATTATATTTTATATAATATTCAGTACTATTCAGGATTTGAAGCTTAACTAGAACAAAAAAATAGAAAAATGAATAATATATATATTTTTTGGCATAATGAGTTAGAACAAACCAGAGTGGTGAGTCTCCAAGTCCTGGTCCTCTTTGCAGATTCAGAGTTTTCTGGATCATAACTGTGACTGTGTTCTCCACTGTATGAATAAATGACAGGTCTCCTAAAACATCAGTCCTTTTATTGTTTGGTATCGCCTTTCTTTGTGCTCTGTGGGACCTGATGACTTATCAGGGACAAAGGTCCTGATTTGAAGCCTGCTTCTTAGCAGTGAGCTACGGGAAACACATTGGATGATAAGTGGATATCCTATTCTCTTTTTATGGTGACTCAAAAATACAGGAGAAATGTTTCAATGAATTCTAGGAAGACTTCATAATACGTGGTAGATAATATAGTATCATGTGACTCTGAGTCTCTTTCAGCAAAGACAGATTCTGCTGACAAAACTGCAAAAAGAATACGGTATCAAATTATCAAATGTCCATGGTACACAATGGGCTTTATAAGGTTGAGTGTGAAATGCACCAATTTTGCATTTTGAAAAGGAAGAAACATACATTTCCTGTATCTGTCATCTACAAAATGCTTTCAATCCCAGGAAATCCTACTGTTCTGGCAATGACACCAAGCTGCAGAGAGAACATGTATTATACCCTCCCTTTATCAGCATGAAACAAAGGATCAGTAAAAGGTTAAGTGCCTTCTCTGTGGTCAGGGCATTAGAGAGTATTCTTTCTATCTTTAGAAGGTATTCTAAAGATAGAAAATGCAGTGAAGTCCTAAAGGAGAACCCAGAAATCTGGAATACGAATCTTCAGAATCAAAATCTCATGAGTCCATGCCTGGTCTTAGGAGCATTACTTAAGCTGTCCTTAAGCAAAGGTCTACTTTATTCAAGGAGGGGAGAAGTAGAAGAAATGAGTTAGGTAACCAAACAGCTCAGGACAGAGGGAAGTGATTACTTACTCTCTGAAAAAAAGGCAATATGCTTGAAAACTGGGGGTGGGGATGCGATTGAGGATGGGGAGGGGTAACAACTAGGAGACAGAACTTGATACTTTATTTTGAGCTCTCAAAAATATATTTATGGCAATGTGAGAGGCTCCTATAAAGGAGAAAACATTTTTTTCCTTACCCATAGCTAGGTTCATGACTGAGATTGCTGTAACAAGCTAAATCAATGAGAGAAAAACACATTTATTTAATATAAGTTGTAGATGACCAGGAGATCTTCAGGAATAAAGACTGAAAGAAACAAGGAAAACTATGTTTAGGTTAGTTAGATGAAGAGTGGTCATAGAGTAGAATGATTAGATAAGGGAGGGATAGCTAATGGAAATGAACTTGGGGGATGAACTTAGCAAGCAAGGCCTGTTTGTTTAGATCCTTCTTTCTTGTCTTTCTCTGTTCCTTTTTTTTTTTTTTTAATACCTTGTGGGTAAAGGAAAAAGGACTCTGTAATAAGTGTTGTATGACCTACTTTAGAGGATGTCCTCTTAGGCCCTGCTACAGGGGAGAATGGTAGGAAGTGGTCAGAGAGATCCTCTTGCTTTGCTGTTTTCTCAAATGCCATGGTACCACTATGGGGTAGCTTGTCCTGAACCCTGTTACTGTGATTGTAGAACTCTCTCACTGTGGATAGCAAGTGCCCCTACCTATTGTTGCCTCTGAGGCTTGAGCGTGGAGTTGGAGTCTGCAGCAAGCAGGGTATGAGGTGGAGGAGATCTCCTTTCTCTCTCAGGGCATTATGGGAAGGCAGGTCCAGAATGCCTCATAATAGGAAAGAGAAGCAAGTGTGGAAAGTTGCAGTCTTGCTGACCCTACTCACTTCCTATGTGGTATGACATGGACCCATGACTTTTACTCCTCTGAGGGTGTCCAGGAATACAGCTGTGTTGAAAGCTGTATAGAGTGCCTTGGTTAGAGCAAGTGATCTTAAAGTAGAGAGTAGAACATTCAGTCAGGAGATTAAATGGAAGTAATTCAAAGACTTTTTGAGTTTGCATGAGAGCCTAGGTGAGATCCTATGTACCAGAGACAGCTCCCAGACTAGGACCAAGCCAAAGGAATGAGAGGATAGCACCAACTAGCATTGCCCTAGAGGAGAGGCACTGAGGACTCTACCTGGGGAAGTTTTCTATTTTCAAAGGATTTTGAAGTCAGAGTCCTCGTTTCTCCTCATGTCTCAGACATGCATTGGTGCTGATGGGGATGCCAGATAGAGGACATTTCAAAATAGCGTGAGCAGTATTATTTTCAAGGTTTTTGAAAAATAATCGGATAAAACTGCATTTTAAATTAAGTGGCTCCCTGAACTAAATATTCCCCCTAAGTAGCCAGTAGTAACTTGATAAGTAAACTAGATTATTTACTGACAAATTAAAAGAACTATACAAATTGTGGTATGTGTAAATTTGGGACTCTACAAATACTTACCTATGTAAAGAAATTGTGCATGGAAAACTACTCAATATACATGAAGATCCATTCAAATAATTGGTTCCAAATCATTAATTTTGGATTTTTATTTGGATTAAGCTTGGAAATGTTTAGAATTATCATAGATTCTTATTTTACTAATGTTTATGAGTAACTGAGCTAAAACAAATACTTACATAAAAGAGCTCAGAAAAGTGCTTCTTTTAATAGTTACTTAAATGGAAAGTATTGCCATAAAGAAAAGGGAAATGAACACATTTACCCTGAGGCCATTGGAGCCATTTACTTCAGGAATTTCACTTCCCCATGTAAGTGTGAGTTGGAGAGAGGGGAAGAGTCTCTTGCCACCACTTTTGGACATGATAGAAGCACTCAACATTTCTAAATGCTCCAGGGTCATGAGAGTTCCATTCTGGCACTCGGGATGATATTTAAGTTTATATGGCATTTGATCTGGAGTTCAGTGCATCTCATAATTCAACACAAGGATTTCATGACTTCTCTGGTCAGAAGTTTGATTACACCATTGTTTTCAGGAAGCCTTTTAAGTTCTGTGAATTGCCTCTGTTTTCCCACGTTTGGAAGGTTCTCATTGTTAATATGTTAAATTCTTTAATTGCCCACAGCTGTAAGTTTCTTCAGTAATTAAGAGATTCCTTTCTGCATTTATATTGTTGATCATCCTGTGTGAAACTAGTAACAGCCCTCATTTAACTCTTCTGTAGTGCTTGAAAAATCACCACTTTGAAGACTGCAACAAGATCACATTAAATACTTTTTTCCTTTTGGCATTCAAGTACATTCCTATTGTTAAAAGGAGGCATGATTAAAATATTTAAAAATCATTCTTAAATGCTTTAAGATTAAAATTCCTTCTAGATTCAAGCTTGGAAGCTTTGATCTCAGTCTTTAAAAACTTTTTTTTTTATTTTGCCTTTATGAAGAAAAAAATGTTGTTTCATCCATCTTTAATTTTTAGAAGCTCAAAACTGTATGCACTGGAGAGTTTCCTATCTCTCCCCATTTGAAAAGTGATAAATTAGCTAGTTTTCCTTCATAAGATTTATGAAATTATTAGTACTTCTTCTGTTGTTATTTCATCCATTTTGAAATAAATTCTTTAAAATCATTTTCTGAATCTGCCTTTGGCTTCATTTAACCTAAAGCTTTTAGCTTCAATGAGAGCCATTGAGTCGAAAATGACAGCCCTCTACAGAGATTTACTCACCTCACCACTTAGAATCAATATTCTTTTGGTTGAGAGGCATGATTGTGATTTACATTATCAAAGAGCTCAACAAACGTATTAATTTTCTCTTTAAGAAAAGAGAGTTGAAACTTCCCTCTAGAGCATGAGATCTTAGCACGGGAGTTAATGCTGCACTCATATTTTAACTTTTCTGCTTTAAACTTTGCAATGACTTCTTTTCTGGGTGATGGGACGTAATTTCAGTAAGTGCTCAATCTAATTATCTCACATCCACTCAGGATCTCTGGGATTTCTTTTTCTTTTAATCTTTTTGTTTCTCTCCTTTCTTCCCCCCTTTTTTTTTTGGCATGTTCCACTGTGCAATATGTTCCTCAAGTTCTTACCTCTATACAAGGAACACTTCCCTCAAGACCCGTGTGCTGCTGCCTGGTTCACTGTACCCTTGTCAGGTTTATTATGCAGCTGTGTGAAATCAAGTGTTCATTAACCAGACCACTTCCACCCAGGGAAGACTTGTGAGAGAAGCATAACTGCAGGGAGTCAAAGGAGATTAATACACGTCTTTCACGCAGGCACAGAAAACTCTCTTGGCTTTCCTGTGAGACAGAGATCACCTACATAGAATAGTTTGCAGTAATAATAATGGCTCATATTTACAGAGAAAGTACTGCTCTAAGTGCTTTGCTGGATCTTCCTTTTCATCCTTGCCATGTCTTTGGGCAGTCAATCTACAATTGGAACCCGAGGAACAGCCAACTGTAGTAAGTACTTTGTGTAAGTTCCTACAGCTAGCCAGTGTCAAAGGCTGTATGTGGATCCAGGCATTCTCTTCAGAGCTTGGATGTTGAACTTCTTGGCTCTGCTATACCTCTCTTAAATGAGACTTCTGTATCTTAATGACTTCAACTGCTGGATGGTGCCTGTGTGTTTCAGGTCGTCAGATGAGTCTTGCCTGCATTAACTACAGACTATAAACTATTATATTTTATTTTACCCTTCAAGTTTGTCATAAGGGATTCCTTCACACAAATTCTTTATGACATGTTACTTTTTAGCTTTATTAAATATATACATTCATATTACAATCTCATTTAGATTATAAAAATCACTCACAGTAGGGTCCATATTTCTCTCGCTCATGAATCCTCTAAATATTTATTGAGTTGACACCAAATCCTAGGACTTGATTTATATTCTTTATCTACTTTATACCATCTAGCTCCCCCAAACAACTGTGGTTAAATGATCTGTGATGAAAGGAGAAAAAACAACACAGAAAGTATTACAAGAAGAAAAGGAGAGGGAAAAAGGAGGAGGGATGTCCCAGGACCACTGGAGGTAGTGGGGTGGGAGCAGCAGGGTGACCATAGGTAGCAGAAGCAGCAGGACACAAATTCTTTCCTTGACCAAACCCATCACACTCCTGAGTCTTTTCCTATGCCCATTTGCGGACTTCCTTTTAAAATCCCCTTAGCAGAAGCCCTCTCTCATCCTTCTCCA